GATCCTGACGGCGTGCATTAGCCCCATTAGCGTCAAGCACACGTCCATCTTTGACGAAAAGAAAGCGCCCGACTCGCTAGCGTTCCACCGCAAGGTCGCGCCGCCCGACTCGATCGCGGTGCACCGCAAGCACCAAGCACCGCCGCCCGACTCGATGGCCAAGTACCGGTACACGCCGCCGCCGTCCGAGACGCACCGTCCGCCCGACTCGCTCGCGGGACGCCGACAAGCGGCTACCATGGCCAACTACGCTTCGTCCCGGCGGAATTGGCTCTGTGACAACCAATCGACGACGTCGTCGCAGGCTTGTATGAGCGTCAAAGCCCACAGCTTTACACCGATGAGCGCCTACGTCGACGACAACGACCAGCGCGTACCGAAAGCATATCCCATGCACATGGCGCCTAATTCGACCGACGACATTCGTCTGCACCAGTACCGGTCCAAGCACGTGCGCCTCGACCAGACGCACTCAGCTTCCGACATCCAGCAACGCTATGCGCTGCTTCGCCGCACGGCAACGTTGGAAGAGAAGCTCTCGACGGCCATGAGCCGCATTCCGCGCGACCTCCGTGGCGCGCCCAAGAAGGCACACCCGACGTCGATGAAGCGCGTCCAGTTCCGCGACGAGTACGTCGATGCGCCGCCAACGCGAGGGCGGGTGCGCCGGAGCAGCTGCTAAGACACCACGAACGCAGTTTTGGATATTCATGTTGGTGTATTGCAACTGCCTTACGCAGCCAGTGCGACCAAGGTGTCGATGATGACAGCCGCCGAGGCAGCGCGGCGAAGGTGCGGCACGTTGACGGCATCAACCTTGGATGCGTCGCCGCCCCGGGTGCCAGCGGTAGTTACGGCCGTCTTGAATGTCTCGTCCAGGCGCAACAACGTCACGTGCGCGTGCGCGGGGTCCTCAAGCCACTCGACTGCGCTCGCTTCGTTCGGCCAGACCACGAGCATAACGCTCTTGGTTGGTGTCCAGCCCGCCTGCATGCGCGCACGCAAGGTGCCCGCAACCGTTGCGACCAGCTCGGCATGCGACGCGCCATCGAAATACGCGCCTATGCACAATGGCGGTTCTGACTCATATGCAGGTGAGATGGTAGGAGTGTACCGAGCGCAACGGCCGCGCTTCCGATCTTGGGCGACGACAGGTGGCCGGTGAGGGTGGGCGCCGTTTCGACTTGGACGTCGCAAGTCCGGTGCAAGTGCAATGTGCCGTCGTGGTGCGAGGACCGGAGCGACACGAGCGCGGCCGTATCGACAAGACTGATATACGCAGGCACACGGTGGCGGGCACGGGTAGCTCCGAGACTCAAGCGCGGCGCGCCCTTGACAAACGGAGCTCCAGGCGTGATGTCCAAGGCCGCAGCGATCGCGGGGCAAATATCAAAGGAAGAGGTTTCCGCCGGTGTGTGGAAGATGACGCCAGTGTAGCCGAGGTCATAGGCGCGTGCGACAATGGCGCAGTTGGCGTGGACGTCGGCGACCAAATGCGCAACAGCGACTGCAGGTTGCGTGATGTGTGGAAGCTCAGGCCCGTCCACAAACACCATCGCCACGTCAAGATCGACTGATGCCAAGCACGTCGGAGGAACGAGAGGCGCTAATGCGACGTCCAGCCCCGAGTGCGATTTCCAGATGGCGTTGTCGTCGATGGTCGCGGGTGACAGATAAAAGTACGAGGACGAAGCCATGGTCCAGCCGTTGACGTGAAAGGCACGTTCTACATCATGGTGCGAGGAGCTCCTACACAGTGCGCTTTGTGAGCTTGTCATGCATGCATGCTATGGCTGTACGGCAGGCGAGTCGACGCTACTAGGTCGGGCAGGCGCAGCGGGACGCTCGACGTCTCGAGCACCCCGACGCCCCAGAGAAAGAAGACGAGAAGCAAGGCCTTGGCGGCTGTAGCTGTGAGCGCCGGGCGGGCGAGCGCGCTGTCGGCCCCCGCGCGGAACGTCCCGTAGAGCATGCTGCAAGCCGCGATTCCAAAGCGAAGATGATGCGAGATCCGACAAGAGACCCCGTCGGCGCACATGCCATTGGTCAAAATAAAAGATATGTAACCAATGCGAAAGCATACATGAACAAAATCCATCTGTATTTGCGCGAATCAGCTATCATGTTACCATCCTTCGACATTTTAATACCTCAAACATACAAAATATGGGTTAACAAAAAACGTACAATATATATCGCAGGGCGGTTTGTATATTTTAATTGTATTGCGATTGCATTCTTCAATTCCCGATCCAACGCGCAGAGCTCCACGACGACCCAGCCCGCCATGGCCTTCCACGAAGCTGCCTTGAGCAACGCGATGCTCAACCTGCGCACGCGCGTCTGCATGATGCTCGGAGCGATAGCCATCACAGCGACTCTCTGGTTGCTACCCCGCTCCCTCGTCGAGGCAGGGTCTGCGCTGCTGCTCTTGGCCCTATGTCTCTCTGTGGCTTTCAGCGGGATCCCGACGAGCCATAGCACACTTGATTCCGATTTCAGAGACCTCCAACCCGGTGATTTCGTCTTCCTCGCGGACGTGGCCATCGCCCTGTCTTCCATGTTCGTCCCTCTCCACGCCAAATTGGTCCTGCGTGACGCGGTGATGATCTAGCACGACAGTGCTCCTGTTCTACGTGCTGTTTTTGCACCTTCCAGCAATTGCTTGGCTGGCGCGTACTTTGACGCAGCGCGAGGTCGCTGCACCAGCGCAACTTGCATTGTCGGACGACGACACGGCCATGTCGAACGACAAGGAGACGACCGACAACGACGAAGAACACGATGTCATCTAACCCTTTAGCGCTACGCGTTCATCTCGTCTCGGCTCTCCCATCGTCGATGCGCAACATCTATACAACGCCACACGCCTACGAGGCGCACAACCACAACGTACATGGGAACAAGACGGGAATTTCGGACACGCGGTGCAGCGACCAGCTCGCAACGCACAATTCCGAGTGCTGTCATTGTACAGAACGCTAGGCACCAGCATAAAGTCAGCGACGCCAGGCCGATCAAGCACTAACCACTACGCCGTCACGTCGCCGTTCAAAGTATAATGCACATCGCGCTTCTCGATTGTGTGCAATTGCCTTCTACGTATACACGTACCCGTATTGAAAAACAGACTTCCAAGCTTCGAGAAACAGACCTGAAGTGGGCACATCCGAGACATATAGTTTCGAATTGTGTCAATATTGTGTTGGATTTGTATGATATGATTGGCTATCCCACTGGACACGATCGGTTTGACTTGTGGTGTGTATGCACACGCCTCGCTCGAATTCCCGTAAGAAGTACTGTCGCCACCACAGCCATGCCACGTCACGACCATGCTGGCTCCTTGCATCAAGCACCAGCTAAACGCTTGACGACGAAATTCCTCAGAGATGCAACCCAGTCTTGCTCCAATGCGCTTGAAGCTTACGAACGCATGCCATGAATAGAGAGAGTCGACTTGTATACCTGGCACAGTGGCTATCTACGCAGGCGACATGTTGTACCAGGCTATGGAAGCAACGTCATTGCGGTAGCTGCTAGATGACTCGACTGTCTTCATGCTCTTGGCGTATCGCGTCAAGCGACACCACCGATGTGGCCTTCTTGGCGTACAAAAGCAGTCGAGGCGGTACTGGCCCGCGCACGCCTTTTCGTGTCGAGG